TGCCACTATGCCCAGCTAATTTTTAAATTGTTTTTGTAGAGACAGGTTCTTGCTATGCTGCCCAGGCTAATCTGGAACTCCTGTCCTCAAGTGATCTTCCTGCCTTGGCTTCCCAAAGCACTGGGATTACAGGCATGAGCCACTGGGCCTGGCCCCAGGCCTGTTTTTTAACATGAATTTTTAATTAGCAGAATTTACCTAAGAAACTACTGTCTGCCAATGTTGTAAAACTCCTGAAAAGACAGAACTGGCTTTGTTGCTTTCAGTGGAGAGAGATCAGTTCATCTGCATAGGTCATAAACAGATTAGTGCACTCTCTATTGGCGAAGGATTTTCGATTATTTTGGAAAGCCAACTTTAGCTGATTACATGGAGCAAAATCTAAAATCCAGTTGTGGTGGTGTGAGTCAAAGGGATGCTAAACAAAGGGATTCTAAGTTCACTTTACACAGAATATAAAACTCAAATTTTATGAATCATGACTTAACCTAATAGTTCAATTAGAAAATTCAAGAAAAGCAAAGAGGATTCTAACAGAAGACTATTTATCATATGAACAGGTTTATTGTAACATGGAATGCAAAAGATTAGAACTGTTAAAGTGTAATTTTTCAACTTTAAAAATAATTAAAATAAATAAAATCAAAACAGGATAATGACCAGAATAATAGTACCATTATAATCACATTAAAAAGAAGCTTCCATCAACATTTTAAGAATGTGAAAAATACAGTATGAGACATTAAACACTGTATTCTACTCAGTTTTATAATATTCCATTTTCATAAAGATATTACTCAGAAGACAGGCTTCAGATATTCATGAAATGAGAGTAGAAATACATATGCTAAGATTTACTAATTCACTATTAAAAAATACCTTAGATGTCCCATTATAATTGTTCTTAGGTATTTTTAACAAATGTTAAATATATTTCACAGAGAAGACAGGTAGTATTTTATCTACATAGAACTATGTAAACTTTCAGTAAAATATTTCAATTATTTTACTATGAATCTTGTCACATTTTATAAGTTAATTTTCATTTCTTCTGCTGACGAGGTTGTTTGTCAATGTTAGGATCAACAAATACTGGACTGTACTACATTTAGTTGTAATAACTAGTTTATCCAATTTGATTTATTATGTGGGAAATTATAGGCCCCTAAGTGTATTTAGATCTGTTTCTTTGAAACAAAAATATTTAATTTTATGCATGTTATAAGAAACAGCTTATTCAACATATTTTTTTTTAAACAAGCAGTACAAATAGCAGATGTATATCTCTTTACTACTCCTACTCTTTGACTACAAGAAATGAAGCCAGAATTTAGAAAAATACAATGCAAGAAAAGATTCAAGTTAAAAATATATTCCTTTGGTTAAAAATCATCCCCATTATAATAATCATTTGTGATCTAAACTCACAGAATGTCCCACCAGCCCAAAGTAATCTTCTAAATGTCATACTTGCAGTATTACAATGTTTTCTTCAGTCCGGTATTTATGGAGGTCACTGGGTTGCAGCAACAGAATATTTTATTTAACTCTAGGAAAAGGATAGCCTTCTGGCAATTAATGCCTTTGACAATTTTCTTTCTTAAAATATTTTTACTTTAGAAACCTTCGACACATGTAGTTTTCTTCAGATACTGTATATCCAAACTTTTTATAGAAACCAACATTTTGTGGTAGACATTCAAGAGTAATCTTATAACAGTTCAGTTTCTTGCTTAGCAAAGTAAGGGTTGATAATAACAATTTGCCAAGCTGCTTTCCTCTGCATTCATCACTAACGACAACATCTTCTACTCTTCCTCTCTTAGCACAGGAATGGATAAATTTATGTTCTATTATCAGAGTTGCGGTAGCAACAATCTGTCCTAGAGTCACATCTTCTACAACTGTAACATAATAATCCCCAGATTTCTTCATATGCTCAAAAGATTTCATAAACTGTTCAGGGTTGACAACTCCAGTCTCTGTCAGCTGACCCAGTACCTTAAAAAAACCTCTATTTAAGTCAGCAGTACAAAGAGGCCTCAAAACCAAGCCTTCTCCAGGATGGGTTGGGGAAATGGCTGGAGAAAATGTAGCTGTATTCTGACTCCAATCCACTTCTTTGAGTAGACTTGGGTCAAACATAGGAGTTTCATCAGGTTTCATCTTTCCGGTAAGGTCCGCGGAGGCCGCGCAGTCGGCGCTCCTCGCCCGGCGCGTCGGACTCTCCCCCGCTGGTGTGCACGCCACCGGATCCGGATCCGGCTTCAGCGCCAGCCCCACCTCCTCCTCCACCTTCCGCGCCACAGCCTGGGTTTTTTTATAAAGAAAGAGGGAAAGTCCCTTCCAATGCCTATTGATTTCTAAAGACCTTTGATTCAAAATACCCTTTATACGAAGGAGCCATATTTTGGGGTGAAAGTTCCCCAGCTCCTTCAGACTCCGGTCCAGTTTTTGACGTGGGTCGCTTCTTTTCCAAACCCAAGGACTCACCACCACCCTGTTTAATCTCCATATGTTCCTTTAAGCTCAGTAACACTGTGGCCACAGATTTCTCACACAAAATGGCACTTTCCGGGGGGCGTTTATTACAACCATTGCCATGCTGTGGTGGGTGCAAAGAGCTCAGGTCTAGGAATCCGAGGCGCGGGTACGGCCTCGCCTGTCCTCTGCCGCCTTCGCAGTCCTGGACAAGCCACGCAGGGTCCGGGCGTGCAGTGCGGGTGGCCGTGGGCACCGCTGCGCGGGGCACGGAGCGAAAGGACGGCTTTGGAAGCGGCCAGTTCGGTAGAAATAGGGGCCCTCATTTCCTGTCCTTCTAGTAGAGGGAGGTGCTTATCTTACCCCCAAAAGGCAGTTCAGTGGCTTATCCATACGAATCTTCCTCTCCGTCCGCTTGCAAAAACCAAACTGTCTTTGGCAAATGACCCATAACTTAAAAGTTCCTATTTTGGACGGCGGACAGGATTCAGAAATGATACCCACAACGCTTGACTTCAAGTGGCAGGACACGGTTTTAGAAACAGACTGTCTGGAGCAGAATACATAGAAATCCGAAGGCCCTCTGGTGACATTTCTGCCGTGGGCTCTTCTGCCTCTCGCATGACGTGGGGTCCCAGCGAGCCCCTCGGGGGGCAAGAGGGAGATGCCATAGCAATGACATCGATGGGCCTTCAGGGCAGGGAAACGTGCATGAGACAGGAGGAGCATCTGTGGGCGTGATTTCAAGGAGAGGCACGAGCTGATCTCTCCAGCAGTCACCGGATGTGTCCGGCACAGGGCGATCAGAGAAGGGACGGATCCGGATGGGCCCAATGGTGTGGCCGCGAGGCCGAGCCCAGACAGCGAGACGTCCCGTGAGCGTCGCCGAAAGCATCTTCCGTGCTTTGTATTCAGATGATGCTGTTTTTAGTTTCTACAAGTGCCTCCCAATTTGTTTTATCTGCGTCTTACACAGATTATGTCAGGGCTTCTGTGTAATTCTTTCCTGGAGTCTCTCCGTCCCCAAACTGTTGTTTCTGTAATTCTGCCTTTCCCCCGTAAACATCGGTCCCATCCCGGTCAAGCTTCCCGGAAGAGAAGCTCCCATTTGTTGACTCCAGCTTTCCCCTCCCCATTTCCCTCAGCCTGCCTGGCGATCTGTCACCCTCCTTCATCCGACCTGTCCTTTGAAAGGTCACCAGTGACTTCCAACTGCCACACCGGCGAGCTCCCCCAGTCCTCCTGGAACTTAAGCTCGCTGTGGAATCCCACACTGCTGACCTCTCGCCCACTGCCTGGAACTCTTCTCCCTGCCTTCCTTCCCAGTCCCTCCCACTTCCCCTTCCTGTTCCTGGCTAGTCTCCTCGCCCTCTTCCAAAGGAAGGCATTCCCAAGTCCTGTCCTCAGACTTCTCGTATCTCTGTAGTCTCGCTGGAGTGACACCATACCCTGCTGCGATTTCCAGTTCTTTCTTCAGTCAGAGCCCAGCCAGGAGACAGAAACCACACCTGTCATTGGAACGGGACATTTTAATATTTTTAAAAAATTGTTAAGGCCAGGTGCAGTGGCTCACGCCTGGAACTCCAGGACTCTGGGAGCCTGAGGCAGGAGGGTCACTTAAAGCCAGGAGTTTCAGATCAGCCTGGGCAACATAGTGAGACCCCGTCTCTACAAAAAATAAGAAAAATTCCCTGGGCATGGTGGTGCACGCCTGTAGTTCCAGTTATTCGGGAGGCTGAGGCAGCAGGATCGCTTGAGCCCAGGAGTTGGGCGCTGCAGTGAGCTATGATGATACCACTGCACTCCAGCCTGTGCATTAGAGCAAGACCCTGTCTCGAATATATGTGTATGTATATATATATATATACACACACACACATATATACACACACACACACACACACACACACATATATATATAGTAAAAAGGCTAAAAAATGACTCTAGAAGGAAGCAATAGCCACATTTAGGACTGAGGGGATGTGAGCAAGTCAGGAACTCAGAAACTTAGAACTCTCCAACCCTGCCCCCAGCAAGGCTGAGACTCCGGACGCATTTGCCCTGGGTGGCTGTCACAGATGTGCAGCCTGGGGGTGATGAAGAAACTTGCAGGACACGGCAGCTGCTGCTAGTCTCTGAGGGCCACCGTTCCTCCCCACCCCACATGCCCATGTGCCGGCTGTCACACAGAGACCCGCACACACAAAAAAAGGCAAGACCCCGCCTCCCGCTCTGCCATCCCATGTCCCTCCAGCACTCTCTACTGGCAAAGCCTAAAATTGCCCCTAATCGAATGTGACTGATGTTCTTAGAAAAAGGGGAAAATGTACGCTAACATACAAGCAGAACGTCACTCGAACACAAAAGCAGAAATCAGGATGATCTGTCTACACACCATGGAATGCTAAAATTGCCACAAACCACCAGAAGTCGAGAGACAGGCATGTAGCATATTCTCCCTCACAACCCTCCGAAGGGTAAGGGGTTAATATCCAGAATACATGTTTTTAAAAAAAACTCCTAAAACTCTACAAAAATAAAACACACACCACTCAATTCAAAAATGGGCAAGTAACCTGAATAGACATTTCTCCAAAAACGTATGTGAATACTCAATAAGCACATGAAAAGGTGTTCAGTTTCGTTAGTCATTAGGGAAATGCAAACCCAAACCACAGTGAGATAGGACTTTGCACCCACTATGATGGCTGTTATAAAAAAAAAAAAAAACAGAAAACTACAAGTATCAACTAGGATGTAGAAAAATTGGAACCATTGCATAACCATTGCTGGTGGGCATGGAAAATGGTGCAGCCACTGCGGAAAACAGTTGGATGGCTCCTCAAAAAGTTAAGCATTGAATTACTGTATGCGCCAACAATTCCACTCCTAGATATATACTCAAAAGAATTGAAAACCAGAATTCGAAAAGACATTTGTATGCCGATGTTCACGGAAGCATCACTCACAGTAGCAAAAGGTGGATACAACCCATGTGCCCATCAATGCATGAATGGATAAACAAATGTGGCGTGTAAATACACACATATGTGAATTTATTCAGCCTTTAAAAAATGAGGCTCTGATACATGCTACATCGGTCAACCTTGAAAACACTATGCCAAGTGAAACAAGGCAGACACAAGAGGACAAACATGGGAAGTCCCACTGACGTGAGGCGTCTCACCAGGCAAACGCGTGGGGTCCGCAGAACGGAGGTCAGCGGGGACTGCAGGACAGTGAGAAGCAGGCGGCTGTGGATTCACGATTAGTGTTTGCTGTCTGATGAAGAAGTTCTGGAAATAGATAGTGGTGATGGTTACGCAGCATTTTGAATGTACTTAATGCCCCTGAATCGAACACTTAAAATTGGCTAAAATAGTAAGCTTCGCGTAATGTGTCTTTTAATATAATTTTGTTTGAAAAGCTCGAGAGAAGACGTCAAGGCCTGTGAGGCTGGAATGCAGAGGAAAGGAGGGGGACCTTCAGTGTCTAGGACTAGAATCCACAGAAACTGTTCGTTGACTGGGGGTGGGCGTGTCTGGTGTTGAGATCTTGGGTGACTCGGAATGACACTGTCGAGACGAACGGTGACACAGACTGGGGGCAGGGCTGGAGAGCCAGGCCAGGCCTGTTCAGTCACAGTCCCTTTGCATTCGAGGTGTCTGTGGGATCCCACAGTATGGTGACATCACCCCATCCGCCATCATAGATGATTTGGCTGAAAGCATAGACAGACAAATAACTAGTAGCTGACATTCACTGGTCACGCGCAGTGGACCAGCCACCGTGTTGAGCACGCTGCACCCATGAGTCTAATCCTCTCAGAGCCCCGGGAGGCATGACGGCCCTCCTCTTACGCTCAGCCACACCAAGGCATTTGCTAGGTCCTAAAAATGCCCTGCACTGTCAAACCCGGATACTCGAGTTCATTTCCGTTCCCTAAGGCTACAGTGCCCTTGCCACCTCCCCGCCCAGATGCACTTCTACGCGTCCTCCAGAGCCCCTTCCAAGGCCAGCGGTTCCTCCGAGTGCTGCGAGCTGCCTCGCTCAGCAGGGATCCTGTCCTCCCGTCCCCACTTAGCAGCTGGCCTCCTAAGCAGCAGCCTTCAGAGCGATGTCTCCCCGGTAAGACTGTGGGCTCCTTCGTCTCTGAATTTCCGCCCACCCTTCTCAGAGCGCCTTTCCTGCAGAAGCGCTCTTTGAATGCTGGTGTTTTTAATAAATGGATAAGCTGAGCTTTAGAAAGGAAGTACACAGCCAGGGTTACAGGGAACCTCGGTTGTACCTCAGGAGCAGAACTCAGACCCGCTGGGTCTCCACTCCCCACTAGGGGCGTCTGTCTTTCCAGCTCTGCGTGGAAATTGAGTTCCAGAATCAACACAGTCCGTGCAAGGGGAGCATCTGGGGTCCTTTTGCCGCATTAAAAATTCACGGCCAGAAATATTGGGAGTCTCAGGGCTTTCTTCCACTCGTTTTGCCCTGTCATGTCCCTGCTAGACCACATGATGCATGAGGGAGGGAATTGGCTCTTTTTAATTTCTCACTGTATACCTGATTTCGGGCACAGTGCCTGGGACGCAGCAGGTTCTTAATAAATATTTGTTGAATGAGTAATGAACCCACTACTTCTTACTTAAAAGACCCCAAAGCTATCAAGCGGAATGAGCAAACCAGGCTCTCTCATTTGTTGAGCTAAGGCTAGTCTCTCTCACAGGCAATTCAATCACCTGTCCCCCATCTATGGGTGCCACACTCACCTTCTCTTGTGCCTCTCTGGCAAGAGCCTCCTGTGTCGGAGAGAAAAAAGACAAAACAGTGTTAACGCTTAGCCTGACTTCTCTTGCATACCTAAAAAATCTTTTACTCTCTGCCAGACCTTCTCCTAATCCTTGCCCCAAAGGAGCTTATCTCTATAATCCTGTCCTACATAATGATTCCCTTTCCCCTCATTTTTCTTTTTCTTTCCCCCTATTCCTAGCCGAGCGCCCCTCGCTTTTCTAATCCTGTTCAGCATCTCTCGGGGGTTCCTTGACACGGTTTTAACGATGTCAAATCCTGAAGCCGAACATCAAAGGAATAAAGCCCGAAACAGTATCGATCGTGTCACAGATGTGTCCAATATCCCGTGTCCCAGACCTGGGGCGTGTGTGTGAACTGTTTCCCTGGGGGCTCGGGTGCGGAGCCTCCCCCATACAAAATGTCAAGCATCTCTAAGTGTTCTTGGCTACATTTTTTTAGAAACTTTGTTTGCGTGAGTCAGCAAGTAGGAGAGTCTGTTCTATCAGAATTTGATGCACCTGTTTGTCTTGAGGGAGCCGAGACTGTGAGCCCAGGAGAGGACCTGAGCACGGGCAGGGAGGATGAAGAGGAAGAGGAGGAGGCCACCATGCATCTCGCATCTCGCGCTCAGCTGCCGGCCTCACCCCAGCTTGGACTCCCAGCGTTTCCTCTCTGGCACAACCTCCTGGTGGAATTTACACAGATGCGGCAATTATGCCTTTGAAACGCCAGGTTTGGCTTCCAAAGCAGTTTATCCCATTGTCTGCACAGATGCCACTCGAGTGAGAATTTAGGAAATTCAAGCGTTTAGAAAATGGCATCCTCCATCCGTGCCAGGCCCCTCTGGAGCCCAGGACACGTGAAAACAAAACGAGGCTGTCGGACGGCGCAGGGGCATCCGCGGGCCCAGTGGGCAGACCCGCGGCTTGGCGGCGGCCTGGCTCGAGCCTGCTGTTTCCCTCCCCACGGCCTCCCTTTCCTAGCAGGGCCTCCCGTGAGCGAGGGCCAGCGACAGAGGACCGCAGGCGTCCCCCGCCCCACCCAGTGGCCCTGAACCCCCAGGCAGCTGCCTTCCGTCCCCCACAAGTGTGGATCAGAGTCCGGGACGCAAGTGGAGGGAACAGCCACAGTGTCCTGAAGCTGCCTTCAGTATCGATCGGCTGTGGCTCTCAGAGAAGAGTGTGTCTGCGGGTTAAATGGCCCGAGAACGGAAAGAGGGGCCTGCCCGGGTCCTGGCAGGGGCTCTCGGGTTAGAGGCTGCGTCAGAAAACCAGGTGCCGGGCTCAGGTAAGGAAATGGAACAGGCGCTGTCCAGAGCAAGCGTGCCGGGCTCAAGGCAGTGACGGCGAAGTCTGACTTCGGCCTTCTGGGTGTTTCTGTTTCACTGCAGAAACACCACCACCCATCGATAAACTGATTTTACAAAAGGCATATTTTTAAACTCGGCTCCGCAAGTTCCAGAAGGAAGTTCCTCCCTGGTCCTTGTTTTAGGGAGGATGGAGACAGTACAAGCAGCGAGAGTGAACGGGAGCCTTCTGACGCCCAGCCAGGCCCCGCTGTCTGGTCTCCCCGGCCACTGCAAGGGGGAGGAAACCCTTTCCCTAATTCAGGATTCAAGTCTGAAGTCCTTGCGTTCCAGGGAAATGGATACAGAAGTGCTCGTATGTACCCACTTATGGCTTTGTTAGTTTTTGCAAAAATGTCCGTCACTTTCTTTGGGTTCCAAGGGGTCTGTAGGCCAACCGGGTTAAGAACGGCGTTTCCCTGTATCCCCGCATTATTTCACAGTCCCTGTCATCGGGACCAGAGACCCTGAAAGCAGAGGTCCGATAAGGGGAAGAATGAGCCGAACCTGTTGCCTGATTCCCTGAATAGGGAGACTAGCACCCACCTCGCTTCCCTCCTGAATGAGGTTATCCCAACCTCTAGTCCTGGATAAATGACGTTTGGACCGGCTCTCTCCACCGCCGCCATCTCCACCCATTCACTCCCTCATTCCTTTCCCGATGCCGGGTACGTTTCATAACAGCCTTCTCCCCACCCCCACCCCAGTAGGAACAGGCGCGGTTCAGGTGTTCTTGTGTTGCAGAGAGACTCCCTCTCAAGGCTGCTCACTCCAGGGAAAAGAACCGGGACTAAAACTGGGTCCATCCTGTTCTTGTTGCCGTTCTTGGCCACTTGGGTCCGGCGCTCACGGCCGCGACGCCTCGCCCGCAGCCGCACGGCGGTCTGTGCTGCACGTCCGTGCCGCCCTTGTGTGACGAGGAAGCTCGAAAGCACTGAAGGCTGGTTTCACGTTACAGGCAGCTTTACTTGTCATGTAAATCAGAATAGGTAACCCAGACATATATGTTTCCATTACGTTATTTTTAAACGTTCACAATTTTATTTTGATGAATGAAACATTAGAAAAGTCACATCACGGCTGTCGGCTACAGTCGCCATGCGCTCACCTGTGGCTGTCGGCTGTAGTCGACGCTCCTACCGCAGTGGCTAAAAACGCCCGCGGGGACTGCCGTAATCCGGGACTACATGAAGGCATGCAAAGAGCAGGGGTGAGTGGGCTTGTCGTAGCGCCCGCACCGCGCCGCAAACCGCCACCGCGCCCGGCCCTGCAGCCGCGGCTCTGCTGGCGACGGCCGGGCAGGAGGACCAGGCGGAGGACGCAGCGCTGCCCGCGCTCTCCCCGCCCAACTATCCAGTTCCCTACGCCAGTACTAGCGTGACAGTTGTGGAGGCTTGTCCCCCTCCCCACTCTGCAGCGTGTCCAAGTCCAGGCTTGCCGTAGAGAACCGTCGTCCGGGATAGTTCCACAGCCGTAGTCCTTCCTATCTTCTAATACTACTCCAGGGTGACATTTTATTTATTACCCAGGAGAAATGCCAGACGGTGACAGCAGGTGTAGACCAAGGGGATGGCTGGTTCCATTCGCAGCCAAGTGGAGGTGAAGGTCACCGCCGTCTTCCTCGCAGGGCCGCGCAGGGCCGAGCGACCCCTCCTCCCCGGCCCACGCCGCGCCCGCGCCCCCGCCTCTCTCGGGGTCCCCCCAGCAGCTGGGGTGTGAGGGCGGAAGGTGCGCGGAGGCGGGAAGAGGACCAGTTCCAAGTTAAGCACTCCTGGGAAAGAAAAGTCTCCCGCCCTGCAGGCGTGGCGAGCCCGGCCGCCCGCGATGCGCTGTCAGCACGCCGCTCTGCCGAGACCCGCGCAGCCTGGCCGCCTAACCGTCCCCGCCCTTTCACGCGTGGCGCGGCCGTGTTTTATCTAACTCCCTGCTTTTTCTCCAGGAACCGCACGCAAAGTCAAGGCCTCACTCAGTGCTCGCTTTCGAGAGCGGGCGACGCAGCGCCACGCCCCAGCCCACCCGCGCTCAGCGCTCTGTCTTCTTCCCGCAGATCCGGAACGTGGCGGCCAACCTCTGCGTGGACAGCAAGCACGGCGCCACGGGGACCGAGCTGAGGCTGGACGTCTGCGTCAAGGACGGCTCGGAGAGGACGTGGTCTCACGAACAGGTACGTCAGCCCCCAGGGGCCGGGCCGCAGGTGCACAGGCGGGGGGCACGTCTCTAGAAGCCGCGTGCGGGGGGGACCCCAGACAGGCGTCGCGGTCGCCAGCCAGCCCTGCAGTCTAGTGAGTCGCTCAGCTTCCCTGTGTCTGTGTCTTCTCAAGGCAGTCGTGACAGCCGATTAAGATAACGCGCACGCAACTGGGAGGCCGAGGCGGGAGGATCACTCGAGGTCAGGAGTTCAAAACCAGCCTGAGCAAGAGCGAGACCCCGTCTCTACTAATAGAAAGAAATTAACCGGCCAACTAAAAATATATAGAAAAAATTAGCTGGGCATGGTGGTGCATGCCTGTAGTCCCAGCTACTTGGGAGGCTGAGGCGGGAGGATCGCTTGAGCCCAGGAGTTTGAGGTTGCTGTGAGCTAGGCTGATGCCACGGCACTCACTGTAGCCTGGGCAACAGAGTGAGAGTCTGTCCCCCCCAAAAAATTATATATACACATATATATATAATGCGTACACAATTGTACCTGCAATAACGGAAATGCTGGCGGAAGTGTTGATGGCCACCCTCGTCCTCCTTCCTTTCCCAGAGTGGCGGTTTTCACAACACAGGGAGCCTGAGTGCTCATTGAACTCTCCCGACCAAACGTCAAGGTTTCAGTGCCAGACGCTCTTGTTCCGCATAGTGAGACAAACACGGCAGATGGACCCCTTGTGGTGGTGGTGGTGGTTTTTAATCGTGGGCACGGAGGGTCATTCCGAAGCCACACCGCCCCGGCGTGGACTTCATGAGGTGCTTCAAGACCACGCGTCGCTCTTGATGGGAGACATTTCAGTGCGGCCCGGTGCGAGCGAGGCGTGGCTTCTAACCCGCGCCGACACTCGAAAGTCCGTGTGAGCGGCCTTCCTTGCATCTCGTCACCTGCGGAGGAGAAAGCAGAGTGGGTAGAATTATGTCTGTCCCTTTTCAGTGGTTTCATTGTAAATCAGGGACCATCTCAAGGGAAACTGTAGAAAACATCAGAGCAGGTGTTTTTGTGCATCAAGCACACGGGACTAACAAGTGTCAACATCCACTGCCATGTTTTAAGAACGAGAATGTAGGTTCAGTGAAAGCCCCCTCCCCGCCCGGCTTCCTCGACCCTCTGCAGGAGGACAGGCCCCCACATTCAGGGCCGTCTGCCCCGCCTGTGCTCTCGGTTTCCTGGAGTTGTCGCAACGTCTCAGCTGGAAAAGTGCGCAGGCTCTTCCCGCACGGTGGCCCGGCACCCCCCAGAGCCCGACCCTCCAGCGCCCGGCGCGGGTGTGGGACTAGAAGAGGCCTAAGTGTCGGCCACACTGGCATCCAGCATGTGGGCGCCTCCCTCCCCCACCTCACTGTCCCCACCTGCTCCGCCCGGCCACCCGCCACAGCGCCGTGAGGTGTGAGGGGACAGCACAAGGCATGAGGGGATAGCACGAGGCGTGAGGGGACAGCACGAGGCGTGAGGGGACAGCACGAGGCGTGAGGGGACAGCACGAGGCCGGGCCTCCGTGGGTCAGTGAGCACCGCCTCTCCTCCGCCCGCTGGTCTGTCCTCGTCCCCCGCCCCACAGCCCCGTGGTGTCCTAGAAGGACTGTGGGCCTCGCAGCCAGGCCAGCCCAAAATTTCAGGTTAGACCACGTGGCCTCGAGACATTGTTAAACCTTCCCAGGCTGTAGTTCCTCCAGCTCTAAAGAGAGACAGAAGGGCCCACCTCGTGGACAGGGCTGTCCCGAGAACAGACGGCACCTGCGGCGTCACAGCGTCTTGCGCGCAGCGGGCGTGGAGTGACGCACTTTCCTTTCCGCCTTCTCACAGGCACCCACCGAATCCCTTTACGCCAAATACCAGACTCTAAATCTCTCTGAAGCCCAAGGCAAGCTAGCTGTGACTTTGGCTTCACCGATTATTCCCGGCATAGTCTCCAAGCGCTAGTCATCATCCACTCAAGCCCACCCGGCCGCAGACTGTGGAACTCGCCAGGTGGGTTTTAAAGAAGGCTGGTGGCTCCAGGATCTGCCGACCGGGTAAAACATCAGTGGAAACGGACTCGGCCCCTCCCTGCTCCGTCTGTGTCTCTCAGCTCCACGGGGTGTTATCAGGGACCCGAGTGACAGGTTGGACTGTGACCTCCAGCAAGGAATTTCGACTTCAGCCCGGGGCGCGATAGAGAAGGCTAAAGAGGCCGTCAGTAAGACGGGCAACTAGAGTGGAAAAGCATATTTTTTAAAAAGAAAAAGGAGCAAGCCGTAAGGACAAGCTGCTGTCTCGGGCTCGATGCCCCTCTGCCACCTCTGTTCAGCCCAACCAGGAAACACACCTGGCCAGCTGGGGGGCAGGACAGGGGTCGGGGCGCCTGAATCCGGCTTAACATTTCTCTCCAGCAATGCTCTAGAATGAAATCTGCTCTGGCCTGAAGATTCTACTTGGCAGCTGAAAGTGAATATAAACAAAACCGACTATATCGCATACACTTTAAAAATTATTGGTTCATTTTTTTCCCCTCAAGCTAAACTGCGAAAGTCTGTGGCCTGTAATGCAAGAATTGGTCACCAGAGGGCAGGACTAGACAAGCAGAAAACGCCACGGAGGCCGACCGGAAGGACCAGAGCACGGAGCTCTCCGAAAAGGAGATTTCTGATCTCCAGAGATCCTAAAAATGGAGCTATACAGGAAGATTAAACAAGGTTGACAGGAGGTAAAAAAAAAAATGCATCATATTTGAAATATGTACCACCACATATCGACTTGGAGGTTAAAACATTACAAGCTGCTTCCTTCTGCAGTAATTAACTGTCAGCTTTATTCAATACATTAGTCAGTGACTTTTTCCACATTTAGATTAAAATTCCTAGATGAGAAAAGAAGTACATCAGAACATGAGCGCCGTGAGCATTCTTTTTAATTCAGACGAGATCAGGCACATTCAGGGTGGTCCGGTAATAGACGAGCATTCTTTTTAATTCAAAAGCATTCAAAGAACACCAAAGTGGGGTGCTTATTAGAGTTGAAATGATCCCTTTTCTTTCCAAAAATAAAGAAAAAAAATCAAGTGGCAAAAAAAAAACACGAATGAATGAGATCTCTGCATGGGAAATACAGAAGAGTCCCTGGAAGCCCCTATGTAAGAAAATCCCTTTTGTTGCAGAACACCAGAGATGGCTAATCCGCTTCTGTGAAGGAAGCAAGCGCATGGTTCATTTTCCCGGGGCAATCTGTTTGGCTGTTTGATATCCCTGTAGCATCATGCGCTGGCGCTCAGTTTCCTCTGGGGACCAAGACAAAAAAATAAAAATAGATCCTAATGAGCCCGTGAGGTCTGGAAAGAAGGCTCTCAGCTCCTGTTGCGGGTCCAGGCGAGAGGAGAGGGGGAGCCCTGGCTGGCCTGGTTTGGCTGTTCCCGCTCTGCGGGCACGGCCGCGCCTCTGTCCTGCAGGGAAGGAGGCCTTGCATCCCCGGAGGAAGCAGCAAACGCTCCCTTTGCGAGACTTGCGGGGCAGGGATGGAACCCAGTCAGTGCATGCAGTGGCCGAAGGACGGATTCCTTTCCTTTGGGAAAAGCAGCCTGGCTGTGGGGGCAGAGCATCACGATGGGTGCAAGCTGCAGGGAGAAACACGCATGTCTCAGAGTTCTGCAAGACACTCAGCAACGACATAAAACATAACTGCCCACAGAGAGAAAAAATATTTTTTTTTTGAGACAGAGTCTCACTCTGTTGCCCCAGGCTAGAGTGCCATGGCGTCAGCCTAGCTCACGGCAACCTCAAACTCCTGGGCTCAAGCGATCCTCCTGCCTCAGCTTCCCGAGTAGCTGGGACTACAGGCATGCCATGCGCCACCATGCCCGGCTAATTTTTTCTATATGTTTTTGGTTGGCCAATTAGTTTCTTTCTCTTTTTAGTAGAGACGGGGTCTCACACTTGCTGAGGCTGGTTTTGAACTCCTGACCTTGAGCCATCTACCCGCCTCTGCCTTCCAGAGTGCTAGGATTACAGGCGTGAGCCTCCGTGCCCGACCAAAAATATATTTTTAATTATCTCAAGTTCAGGTAGAGAGATTAAGATAATAAGTGTGTGTGTAGTACCAAATCTAGTGAGCTTATTCATTTAACAGAACACAGACCCAGGCAAAACACTACAACGAAATAAGAGTCATCCTTGTAAGTCTGTATTGAAAAGTATCAGTTAAAAGAAGAAAGATGAGAAATTAACATCCAAATTGAGAAATCCGAGGTTGAAAAAAAAACAAAAAATCAGGGGCTATTGTACAGGAAACCTGAACAAAATCTAAATACTTGTGTCAGTAATAATAACCCAAGGGAGAAGACAAACTGTGAATGTCACGGTAACATTACCCAAAGAAAACAATGAACACAGTGTCACGATGTCTGCTTGTTTCTGCTTCTACAAGACTGGGCACGGGAAAGTGTGCCTAATGAATAAAAGACGTGGCCATCAGGATGAGATGAATGGCAATAAGAAGCACTTCAAAGACATAAGAGAGAAAACCGTCAGCCGATGGTAGATGCAGAACAAAGCGATTGACAGAATCTAAAGGTGCATCACTTGGGATGCAGGAAAGCCATCACCAGGTAGGAGCAATAACAGTAACACAGAAAACGCGTGGCAATAATGGGCCAACAACCAGTCTACAAGTGTAAGGATGATCGTCACGCTATAATACCAGCAACCAGATGCAACAGTTACCTAAGGGTGCCCTGACATATAATTGTGACAATAGACGAATAAATTTGTCCAAAGGGACAGATGTTCCTGTGTTTGCTCTGTTTTTTAGGACTTAGCTGATCCATTTAATAAAAAGCGTGAAAAGACCGTCTATCAAAGAAGCCTGGACCGTTGAGGTACGGCGGCGACAAGCCGTCCAACCTCTGCAGGCCAGATTTTTCCCAGGTGTCCGACAGGAACTGCGCTAAGCAGTGATTACAGTCCCTTTCGAAAAGCTCTGGCCTTCAGAGTGCATGAAAACCAAAAAGAGAGAGGTGGAGACAGATAGGAAAATGGATAAACCAGTCAAGGCCCGTTGTCCCTGTACCAGTCGGACCGCCTGCTCTACCAGGGGACGTGAGGTCTAAATAAAATGAAGGTTTCGCCGGCGCCAACGGCAGGTTTATAGGCCGGGAAATTTCTGTTCCCATAACAGGCGACTGCATCGAGAATCGCCAGAGCTGGAAGTTCAAATAAGAATGATCGTTGATATTGTTGTAATTGGACACACACAGCACAGATTCATTTGAGAGACCAAAAATAAAAAAAAGACTAATGCATTGCTCCTGGCAGTTACGTAAACGCACTTTCTGTTCCTATAATGAGTGCAAGTTTTATTTATTCAACAAAAATTGTATTGAGCAGCCCCTGTGTGCCGTGAATTGTTCGAGGTGCTGGACGCAGAAAGGTAAACAAGATCCACCCCCTGCCGTCGGGCCCGACTGTGTAGTGAGGGACAGAGAGGATAAGGAGACAGGCGGCATGAGGGAAGGCGGGGCGGGAAGGCGCAGGCAGCTCAGAGAGGGTGCGCGGGCGCCTGGGACGAGTCCTGGAGCACGGAGGTGGCTGGTGGGTGCTGTGCACCCGCCGAGGGACTCTCATGGACAGAGTCACAGCAGGGAAGACGCACCCTGCCTCGTGCGGGGGACTACGAACGTCTCGGTGGAGCTGGGACGTGAACTAAGAGGAAAGGGGTGCAGCTGGAGAGATCGGCGAAGGCCAGACGGAGGAAAGTTCCCCCGAGAGTCGGGACTCTATTCCCTAAGGGCCCTGTGACAGTGCAGTGGGATTTTAGTTTGAGAGGGAACGCGGCCATCAAGCAGGCATTTCCCACAGAGCCGAGCAGGACCAGGGCAGACGGGAAGAAAACAGCTGAGTCCAGAACGTGTTGCATTCGAGACGTGGGCGGGGCACGCAGTTGGGACGTCCCGCCAGCAGCGGGACAGAGCACGGATGACAGGTGTCAGCACGTCGGTGAGGGCGGAACTGAGAGTGTCTGAGGCCACAGGGAGGGCGCAATGCCGCGTCCCAGGGGCGACAGTGTGTTGAAGCAGAGATGCACGTAGGAGAGCGTGGGCGAGGTAGAGGTGCGGCGTAACGGGAGTGCGGTCTGCAAACGCCAGGAGAGTCGTGACTTCTGTTAGACAAGAGCGATTAAAATTAGAAATAGCTGAATAGACGCTTTCTCAAGTCGTCCTCCTGAGCAGGATTTAAAATAGATCTAAAAATGTCTCGGCCGGCTGGGCACGGTGGCTGTCACCTGTAATCCCAGCACTCTGAGAGGCAGAGGTGGGAGGATGGCTCGAGGTCAGGAGTTCGAGGCCAGCCTGAGCAAGAGCGAGATGCTGTCTCTACAAAAAAACCAGAAATATTAGCCAGGCATGGTGGCGCCTGTAGTCCCAACTACTCGGGAGGCTGAGGCAGGAGGATCGCTTGAGCCCAGGAGTGTGAGGCTGCTGTGAGCTATGATTGTGCCACTGCACTCCAGCCTGAGTGACAGAGCAAGACCTTATTGCAAAGCAGAGTCTCAGTCCACAATCGTATTTTAAAAAAAAAAAGAAAAAGAAACTCTAGGAAAAGAGACCGTACTATTCTTCATGAATCTATTCCCAACGCCTCACCTGAAACCCCTTGTCTTCTATTTAAAAGATTCTCTTTTGTCTCCTATTCCAGAGAAACAGAAGGTAGTCAGTCACCGTTACTTTCGTATGTTAGGTTTAGACGATTCCTTTCTTACGTTCTTCAAACCACTTAGCCCCGTTCTTTCCGTTTTCCTTCAGACGGCCGGCTCCCCTTTTTGCTGGCCATCCCTGGAATGCTGCCGGAGTCTCTGTATTTTCTTTCGTGGGAGGCCCTAACCCCGGGTATATACGCCCAGGGCCCGAGCCCGCGAGCGCGCCATCCACGCCCCGCGCGGCGCCCGCGGGCTCAGGCGGGCAGGGGGCAGGGAGGGTCCGTGGCTCTGCCGTGCCCTGCCCCTCGCAGGCGGCTTCCCACCGCCGTCTGCAGTCCCGCGGTAGGAATCGCGTAACCTCGCTGAAACTTGCCCCGTGTCCCACGTCCTGGAGGGTTTCTCGCGGCCCCTCCAACGCTGCAGCTCTGATAACTCGGGACAGTGTCCTCCCTGCAGGAGTGGGCTGGTTGGTTCGTTTGTTGACTTAGCACACTGCAAAATCAGTTTTAGAGCATCACGTGCGGCACTGTCAGGATAATGTCATGCAAGGGGACGGACAGGGTCGGACAGGCTAGACCCAGAAGGAGGATGTCGGATGGACCGTCAGAGTCTGCTAAACGCAGTTCGTGAACCTTCCGTCCGCGTTGGAGTGGGGGCAGGTCCGTGGGGGGGGGCGTGTTTCTGTGAGTCCCGGCCGGAAACTCTCTGCGCTGCCCTCAGAATGGCTCTCGCCACACCGGGAGGCGAATTCCTGTTCTTCACCTCACCAAGCCTCGCTTTCCTCTAAATTCGACTTTTCGAGGCGTTAGCGTCAATTCAGCTTTACTCTGCCTTTTTTTTCCCCAGTTAATCTGCTTATTCAGGCTAACTGTGCAGCATTTGATCCAGTGACATTTTGTCTAAACATAAAACGTAGGGGGTTTTATTAAAGACTTTCTTCCTCTACCTCCCCCCTCCCTCCCTCCCTGCTTTTCCTCCTCCTTCTCCTGCAACCCCCCCATCCTCCCTATTTTTCCTGGAACCTAAGTGGAAACGCCTCACTCGCATTTTTAGCGCCTGCGGGCCCCTAGCAGACACGCATCTCCCCCCCCTCTGGGACCTGGTCCCCAGAGCACACTCACCGCAGCCTTTCTGCTCTTGTCGCCTCGCCAGCTCTTTACCTTCGGGTGGAGGGAGGACGTCCGGCCCGGCGAGCCCCTGCACACGCGCAAGTTCTGCCTGGACGCGGTCTCGCACAGCAGCGCCGTCACGCTCTACGACTGCCACGGCATGAAGGGCAACCAGCTCTGGGGGTACCGGAAGGTAAGGGGCGGCTCACGGGGTCCTTCTCCAACTGCCCTGGCTGACTCAGCAGTTTCTCTGAAAGCACACCGTTTCGATTGACAAGCGTGACCCGGACAGGCGGCCACACGTTGTCTGGCTCACGTGTTTGGGGACCACGGGCAAAGATGGAGGGCAGGACACGGCGAGTAGGAAGGGCAGGTTCTGGCTTTGCTTGCTGTGTGACCGTCCCTCACAGTCAGTTACGGCCGAAAATGGCTTTGAGCCAGAAGCCCGGCCCCACGGACAGGACGGTCCCCGGTGACCCGGCCCACGCCCCAGGGAAGGAGTCTCACACCCAGTAACGTACACAGGCCCAACCCACGACACACACGCTGACACAGCCATTCATTCATCACACGTCTCGGGCTCGCTTGCTTGGGAGGTGCCTGAGTTCAGACAATGACATTTAAACAGATATGTATACATCTGTGTAGATGTAATTGCTGTGGCTCCCATGCAGACAGTCACCCATCTACAAGGTGGCCAAGATTCTGCCCAAATGTAGCAAAGAAGAATGTATTTGGGAAATGCAAAAGCCTAAAGGCTTATAAACTTAACACTTAAATAATAGGAAAAAAAAATCATTCAAAAACACATATGGAATCACATTTTGAGTTAACAAAATGAAGAGCAGCTAAATAATTGTTTTAAAATATTTTCATTACACTTCCCCTTGACGACTTTTTAGAATACTATATGGAATTATTTTCCAACTTCTCTGCTTTTTGAGGCAGGACTTGACTGTCACTTAGCAAGTACCCCCTAAACTCCATCCTGTCCCCAAAGGGCTGGGGCCTTTCCAGCCGGGGGGAAGGTGCCCCTGTTTGCCTTTTCTCTCTGTGGCACAGGCCAGCCGGACACAGGCCGCGAGGAAAATGAAACGCCCTCCGCGTTAGTCGCGAGCTGGGCTACTCTGTGGCCGAGGCGAGGTCAGTGTGCCCTCGAGTCACAGAAAGCCGGAGGGAGGAAGCAGCGGAGAGCCAGCACGCGGCCACTGGCTGTGACACTCGTCCCCTCACTCGAGAACCACCGGCTTTAGAGGTCGGTGCCGAGAGCTGTGCTCACCCGAAGGCACCATTGTTGGTCTCTGCCGCGTGCTGTCCCCACCCAACACGGGCAGACTGTGGCTGGGCATCCAAACAAAGTACTCAGCAGCGGCTGCAGTGCCCTTCCGCGAAACAAGTTAAATCAAAAGAGCTAATAGGAAGACGGTGTCGGATCAAACATGGAGGGTGGGGCTCGCTGCAATAGGAGAACCTCATTGTTTTCTTTAGAAATGTATCGCAAATGGCTGATCTTATCAAGCTCTTTTGCTGTTCAGCATGACACAGTCTGTGTGTGGTGCAATAGTGGGTTTTTTAATGGGTCTATCCCGACCTTAAAGGAGTTACTTTCTGTGCACGTCAATAAAATACCTGATTTGCCATTTGCCTAGCATGTTGGTGGTCCCTAATGAACAGAACACTTCTCGTTGCTGTATATTTATAGCATGACAGACAGACCACTCAATAATATGCAATTAAGCCAAGAAAATACAGTTGTTTTCATTAGGGAGCTTACAAAAGCTTACAGACGGATAAGACCAACTAATACACAGAGCTCCTGGGGAGGAAAAAACAACAGGCTGCAGTGATTTCAAGAGGCAACTCTTAGGAGCTTTCACATTTTAAATCTTTCCCGGACCCTAAGGGATTTGTGAAAGGAAACACTAGAGCAGTGGTGCTGGGGCTCTCTTCTCAGATCTTTTTGCAGCTGGTGGCCCTGCATTACTTAGCAAAAGGTTACACTCAGTGTGTATTTATATACAAGCAAGGTATTTATACTTAATCAGGAACATGCCACAGGCTCAAAATGGAAAGTTTCTGAAATATCTCATCTGGGTTGATGACTCAGCCTATTCAAATGTACCTGCTTTAGAAAATTCCTCTTGTTTTTTCCAGTGGCTATGCCCAAGGCGTAAAAAGCTAAAGCACAAAGAGAAGACTATCTCTGGGGAGCCACCTTGTCTATGCAGATGCACTACCTGTCCCTGGGGGCTTCCAGCAGTTTAGCAATCTTCTGAGTCTGCTTTGGAGCACCCTTTTTATTCGTTATTCATGAGTCAATCGGATCCCTAAGGCTCTACCAATTGCCTACAGGGCTGTGTGGGCCGTCGCCTAAGCTGCTACAGTCATCATCATCATCATCACCTCCGACTGGAAAGGAGGCACTGAGCTAGTGCTTAGCACACATTACCTCAAAGCTCACAGCCACCCAGGCACCACTGTGTACAATTTACACAGGAGGAAACTGACACCAGCAGATTTGTGGCAGTGCCAACATTCAAACGCAGGTGCATCTGACTTTAAAGTCTCTATACCCTTTCCTCTGCTGTGCTCTTAAGAAATAAGATCAATCTTCCCTAGCAGAGTTCCCCGATTCTTGTTGGATTCAGCGCCACTGGGACCAGCCAACCGCTCTCCCCCAGCTCCAGGGAGATGTCTTGGAGGGAGGAGGTGGCCAGGGCCACTGAGCTCCAGTGGGTGAAGGTGTGGTCAGGCCCTGCTCTCTGGTCTTGGCAGCTGTCAGCTATTTTCAGATGTGGCCTCTGCCACCAGGAAAGGAGACAAGCACACTCAGTCTGTGATTTTGCAACTGTGCCCAGTTGCGCAGCCGGACCCAACAACAGCAGGTACCCAGGGTGAGGAATCCTGGTCTTGCTTTTCTTTTACCACCAGGGGGAGCCCTGTTACAAGGACAGTGAATTGTTGAAGCAACCTCAGTAAAAATATTTAAGTTAGCACCTAACATCCAAAACAAGAAACTGTCTCTCCTCTTCTTCAACCCCCACATCTAACTGGTCACTAAGACTTGTCGCCTCCTCCCCCAGCCATCTCCTAAATGAATCCCCTCTTTGCCACTTCTAACGGTGGGGCCCTTGGCATCTTACCCCCAGGTTATTGCAAAGGCTTCCAGAAGGGTTGCCCTGCCTCCTGTCCTTCCCCTTCCAACCCATACTCCACCCCGTGTCCACAAAATCGGTCGTTGCATTCCTCTGTTTTATAGTTTCACCAGGTTTCTCACTAAATAGAAGATAAAGCACCTTCCCTTCTCAGTTCTCACGCTGACCTTTCACAGTCTGGTCCTCGTGAGGGTTGCCTGTCAGGCCTTAGAGTTGGTCAGGCTTAGCACACCCTAATGCATCGCGAAATTATAACGATTAGTCTTAAGTTATTTTACATCTATGGCTACTTTCCACTTCTTCACCAGTGCAAGAGGGACGATAATTAATAAGTGAGATAAACTATGTGAAACTCTAGCACAGTTTCTGACCCTATGCTCGAATTTCCATCTGTGCGGGAGACAGTGCACTTGTTACACTGGCAGCCGTGGCGGAGGCATATCCTGATGTACCAGATCGCTAAGGCAGTCCCTCCTGCGCAGGGTTCACTGTCGTTATCTCCCCAAATTTAAGAGCTATCTCCCATGCCATTTTTTTTTAAGTAAACATTTTATTTATGTATAACACATGTCTCGATTTGAGTTTCCCCCAGATATATCACCTAAAGTAAGAATTTCAGTGCAAGTGGTTTATCTGGGAGATGACCCCCCCAAAAAAAATCTTGGTAGGGACCAAGGAAGCGAAATGGGGAAGGGGTGGGAGCCAACAAAGGGTGCGTTATCAAGCAAGTACCATTGCAATCCTACTGAAGAGCCCTGGAAATGGTGTGGAACTGCAGTCCCCAACCCCTAGGCCATGGCCCAGTACCATCCATAGCCCGTTCAGAAAACCCATGAAACCGGTCCCTGGTGCCAAAAAGGTTTGGGGCCGCTGGTAGAACACACATCAGAGAGCAAGGCTTGGGGTATTTATACACCAGCTGTGGGTATAAATCTCTGGTTAGGATTAGCTCCTGAAGGGAGTTTATTCTCTGAGACCTCTAACCTGCAGCTCCTACAGACAGAACTACCCTTGAGACCAGAGGAAGGCCTTAGCAGAGAGCTGCCGCGGCCAAGTAGCTGGAGAGTGGCCAGCACATGCTGGCCCGGGAGGGCCTGAGGGCTGTGGGCAGGACACAGACGCGAGCGGCAGTCAGTGGCCCCACAGCCCCACCAACACTGGGCATCGTCGGTTTCCGCTTCCCTTTTTATCCTGTGATTGTAAAGGCATGTTATACGTTTGTTCACCATCTTGGATGTCTCTGTGAAGGGCCTGCTCGAGTCTTTTGACGATTTTTAAACCTGGGTTGTCTGGCTATTTCTTGCAGATTTAGGGGGATTATTTAAGTATATCTAGCGGCGAGTGCTTTGTTGTGTATGTATTGCGACGTCTCATTCTGGTCAGCGTCCTGCCTTTTTTCTCTCTAGTGGAGGGAAAAGCTGTTCTTTATGATTAGTGGGCTTTTTTGTGTTCTGTTTAAGAAATCCTGGTTTACACCAAAGTCATCAAGATAGTCTTCTATGTCATCTTTGGAAACTTTGTTTTTTAATATTTTACATTTTGGTATATAATCCCCTGAAAGATTTCTATGCATGTAATGTAAGATAGGGGTTGATGTGTGTCTATATAGAGAGAGATAGAAATCGAAGATGCAATCGATCAATCTCCATTATTGAAAAGAACAATTTTCCCCACCGTGCTGAAGTTGCACTTTTGTTGCAAGGCACGAGAACTTATATGCCCTGGTCTGTTGTTGAATTCTCGAGTTTTTACCATGTGACTAAATAGTCTTAGCCATGCCGAAAGTAAGCTAATAGAAATAAACTAACTTAAACCTAATAAGGGATATAAACAAAGACCCACAGCCGTCCTCACTCTTGGTGGTGAAACGCTACAGCTTCCCCACAGAGACCGGGAATAAAGTAGAGTGTGAGCTACAGTCATTTCTGTTCAGCCTTGTACAGGATGTCCTAGTCAGTGTAATCAGGCAAGATAAGAAAGGTAAAGGTTTAAGAATTACAAAGGAAGAAATAAAGCAGTATATTCACAGATGACGTGT